AAATGCAAAAGCATCCCTATGACTCCAAGGGTGACACACACACACACACTCTGTTTTGTTTAGATGCTTCATTGAATATCACAAACTTACAACTTCTGATGTCAACTAGATTTTGACCTTCTGAAATGCACCCTCTCAGCAGCAAATGTTAACTTTGTGAAATTAATTCAATAAAATTAATTCTGCACTCTTGATCGATTTTCAAATGCCGGGGCTGTCCTAAAACAATAAAACAATGCATAGAACCACTAAAATCATGCAGAAGTGAAACATCAAGTGAATTATAAGCAAATGTACTGCATCACCATGGAAGTTCCTGGAACCAGTGGTGGGTGGATCCTTATCTATATATATATATAATTGAGATTAATTGAGCATTGCCACCACAAGGACAAGAACGCCCAGAGGGAACAAGAACGCCTACAGGGGGCAAGAACGCCTAAGCATGAACAAAGATGTCTTTACCCATACATAATAGGCAGAATGTCTGCCCAAGAAGAGGTTCTAGGCCTGTCCGGGCACAAACCGCACTCGTTCAATTGACCACTGGCTGCGCCTTGTTGTTGCTGTTCCACTCAGCGCAGGTCACAGTCATTCCTTGAGTCAACTGTGGAGCATCGAAGCAGAAGAGATCCTGGGGATTCGGAAGGCTTCTGGCGAATGCTTCGTGGAAGGGTGAACTTTCATGTCTGTTTCTGTTGGGATTGGCATTTGCTTTTGTCTTTGCCGCACATGTGGTCGCTTGCGGAACGCGCTAACAATACATCAAACAAAGAGTAGCTACAATAAAAATTCACCTAAAAACTACAGTATGTGAACACGTGATGAAATGTTCCTCGAACAATTTAGCCCCCCCAGCATACACACAATGCGTAGTCCTTCCGAAATCAATGGTCAATGCCTGGTGTGTCTTGTTGCATCTTGGAATTCATCTTGAATCACTATGAGTTTTCTTTTTGACTTGCCGCTGGGTCCCGCTGCGACAAGCAACCTGCCGCACCTGCAGCGCCGGCTTGTCGACATCTTGCTCCTCAGGCACCTCTTCAATGAGGTCATCGCCTCGAAAGGATAGCAATGCTCGCGTCTTGTGGCCCTTGGCGATTCATGACGACAGCAATATTCAGGTTTATTAAACTTGATAATCTACATTTGATTTGGTTGACTTGGTTCGCACTCTGGCAGTTGAACGGTCTCCAGTGTGAGATGCATCAAATACCTCAAATTGTTCAGAGGTCGAGCATGTTCTGCGCTCCGCACCGTCTTCCCCCATATCCATTTCTGCCTGACAGGCTCCAAAACCAGCTGCAGGGATGTGGTGAATCCAGTGACTAGTTGCCACTAGAGTCGTGCCCTTATGCGCTTCTCCTACAGTAGATGGTCGGCGGGAGCGGTCACTCTTCAAAACAGTTCCATCGACATTCTCTATGCACTGACGTTTAGTTCCGAGGACCACATGTCGTGTTAAGTGGAGCGTCTATACATGGAACTCGGTGCCCTCCAATTTTGGAGAAGAGTCGGAATGTGCTTTCATCTTTATACGCTTTCGGATGGTTCCAGCCACTGAAGTACCGGCCAGACTGCTCCAACACTCAGCATTATCTTGAGTACTGCAAGCACTTTGAATGCCCTCATCTCCTGCTCTTGCACATCTTGCGCCTGTGTGTGTGTGACCCTGGCATGCTATATGTACTAAGGATGCCTCACATCCGAAAGCACCTGACAGCACTTACACTTATTATAGCCATTGGCCATTCTTCTCAAAAGGAGTGTGGTTCCCCTTGCCTCCACAACTCCAGCATTCACCTGAGAAGAGGGATGGCAGAAGATTCCAGGATCTCGGCAAAGGCACGGAAGCACCAGATCTGGTGCACCCATCAATCTGTGGCGCCCCATCTTCAAACCACCCCATCCCCAAGAGCGAACTCAAACCGTAGGTGTTCCGAACAGGGTCTGCAGCGGCTGCCGCCGCATCCTGCCAATCAAAGGTAGTGGCGATGTTTCCGCCCATCAATGGACATAAGCCAAACAGTCGATTGAACGCAAAAGGGGCCAAACTCTTTCCTACAGCAAATTCAGGTTCACAAAGCCTGGACATTGAAAGCTCTTAGAAATACATAGAAATACCGGGTCTCTGAATGACATTTGGACAGGTGGCATGTCCTGAAAGACTGGGCTTTGGGCACAATGTTTTGCGTTTGGGACGGGCATGGTTGACAGTTGACATATGCACCGCCGTGTTCTTCTACTCGTTCTTCTAGTTTTTGTGTTATACTAGTACCACCCAAGGATTCGATGAGTTGTAAGTTACGACATGGCAGGAAGCATCGAACAGGCAAACGAGATTTGCGCTGTCGTCTTCTAAGTCCTAATTCTCTAGCGACAGTATGCTCATATATGCTCATGTATTGTCTCCAGCTCATTCACAACTGTCATACCTCTCACGCTATGCCTCTCGAAAACGGCCACGCTGAAGAAGCATAAGAGTTTGTTCTGAAATCGCTCCTCGGCAACTGCTTCCATGGCCGCATCAAAGCCGGAGGTGCCTGACCAAAAGTAACTCCAAAAGTACCGGTGCAGGCTTTCAAATGCTTCCAGTCAACTTCCCATCTCAGTTGAGAAAGCACGCTCCCAGGTCATTAGCACTCTGGAATCGTATAGTGCTCAGTAACTACTCTTTTTGTTTCTATCTGTACGTGCTTGAAAGATTTCACTTTGGCTTCATGGTGTTTCATCCATTTCCCCCACGGTCCACCCTTTCAACCACAACCCCAAGCAGCTCGAAATGAACCATGCCTGTGGTGCCTCGGCTGAGTCGAAGGGCTTGGTGCAGTGCAACCCTGTTGACTCAACAGCTCCAACCAACGAATCAGGATGGCAAAAAACCGTCCAACCGACTTGAGATTAAACCTTTTGTGCCAACACTTGGACAGTTGCAGCTTCACAGATTCCGACTTTGCTCCAGAAAAAGAGGGAGACTCAACATCCATCCCTTGGGATCCTCCCTTGCTGATTCAGAGATCGTCTTGGCTAATTGAAGATCCACGACCTTTCAGACCCGACTGGTGCGTCCCGCCCACGAAACGACAACGCGAACCACGAAAGGTCTTCGCTTTTATCTGGTTTTCACATTCCACCGCATGCCTGGTCTGGAGATATTCTGAACAAAGCAGTGGAACACCCTGGTACGCCTCCCTGTTTCAGTACTGTCATGTGAACACGACACTACCGATGTTAAGCCCTTCTGGGAGCAAGTCGCCGCCCAGGGCTTCTTCCATCCGGATCTCGTCCAGTCTGGCCAACTCCTGCCGGGGAGGCATCCGGAGGCCCATCTGAAACGAGGCAAACACCCATCTCTTCGAGCGCGAAACGAAGACCTCCAACCGCGCGTGGCGACGATTCGTGTTGAGCTGCCCGGTTCCAAGAGTTTGGCCACATGTCTCTCTGAAACTCAGAAATGACAATTTCACTCTGGGAAGACAAAAACTTGGGAGATCTCAATATATATATTATATATATACATATCATGATAATGTTTTATATATATATATAGTGTTTTAAACAATTGCATATAATATCATATATATATATATCGGCTGTTCCACCGGTAAGGGTTACTCAAAGCCCACACCAGGCAGCAAAAGGGGGCTGCCCACCATGGTATCTCTTCTCAGTCCCTTCCTAAGATGGTGGAGGTGGAGGGTCCATCCTGGTGAAGGCTACATTCAACGCTGAATCCAGGTCCTCCAGAGTGGGATAGTTCCGGTAGATCATATGCTGCCGGTGGAAGACGTTTTGCGAAACGATGCGCTCCATCACACCTCAGGAACTGACCATTCGTGTGCAAGGGCGAACTGCTTGGCAAGCGGTTCGGGCCTGGAAATCGATGGGTCGATCATGGGTTCAATTGAGTAGTGTTTTTGGAGGCCTCCCACCTGTCCAACTTCAATGGGGTTGGCTCAAGTTATCACCAGGATTCATGAAACTCATTGACTGTGTAGATCTTTTGACAGTAGACAGTCTGCATAGACCTGTATACGCAGCACATACCGTGTTCCAAGGATTGCTGCAATGTCAATGTCAATGTCCATTGAAACCTATCACATGGCGGGGTCAGGTGTGCTCGACATGAACAACTGGGCGAACGTTTGCTAGAAAAAGTAGTAGAAAAAGTAGTAGTAGTAGAAGAAGAAGTAGTAGTAGTAGTAGTAGAAGTAGTAGTAGTAGTAGGGGTAGTAGCAGTAGTAGTAGTAGTAATAGTAGTAGTAGTTGCAGTAGGAGTAAGAGCAGTAGTAGTAGTAGAAGTAGGAGTAAGAGTAGCAGGGAAATTGATCTGCCAAAAGTCTGCCTGGATGAAAGCGGAAGCTATGAATCAATGACAATGAGTATCTTCGGCTAAGTGGCTAGACCCCTTACACACCATCACGCTTTGGCTTGATTTAGGCATTGGAGCACAGGAAGCGGTTCACGAGCTACCAACCAAGGTGCGTAGGGATTTGGCCATCTCCTCAGGGATGGGGTTCTCCGCACCTACCTGCGGTGCATGGGGCTGTTGGATCTGCGAGAACCTTCGAATGCTCTAGGATAAAATTGATTTCATGGATTTTCTATCAGGCCTGCCAGGGGATCTTGTCGTTCTCAGTCTCCTGGCATTGGTTGGATGGCTGTGTGGGAGAAAATTGGGAGTTCTGCTGAATGAATCGCTCCTCCTTCGAGGCTCCCTCTGCTGCTTCGTCCTGAGGCCAGGGGCATGGGCAATGGGAGTTCTGCTGAATTGCATCTCATCGAAGCAGCAAACACTTCTCAAATCCAATTAAGATGTCTTGTCGCACACTCCGTGAAATAGTTAATCATGGAAGTGGAAAATGACCCCTCAGTACGGCAGGTCGGGTGGTTTAAACTTAGCATGACTATTTCAGTTCAGCTAGTCACTGCTGTTTAGCCCTGCCCCAGAAGATTCTACGGTATAACAGCTCTACCAAACAATCGTCTCGGGGGCTTTGGCGAAGTTCAAAACAACGAGTTTCAGACCCACCTGGGTTCTGAAAAAGACTTCAACAACGAGTCGTCCCGACTTGGCAATGTCGAAGACGTGAGGCTGACGACTTGCACTCCAAACGATCCCACAGCGCCACGTCCACTCCGAGTCCTGCGGGATGAGCCTTGGAATCACGCTTTTTTTCGGAGACTCACGCCACCCTCGAGTTCACCGACCTGTCTGACCCATCTCACAGTAATTATATATATATACCTAGTTTGTCCTAATTTATCCTAAGTTTCATAGATTCGATTTTTGAGGCGGGCTGATGGCAGCGCATCAATCAAAGTTTATGGCAAACAAATAAAGGAATCAACTGTTTGGAAGGCCCACTGGACCCTTCCAGTTAGTTCTGGGGCCTGCACTTGGCACGTGCTTGGTATGGTACAATGGGATGGAAGACCCTAATCTTGTGCTGACACGGCCGATGCCCGACTCACCTAGGGCTCCAGCTGCGTGGCTTCCTGAGGCGAACGACGAACCCGTTGTAACAATGGATTCCGTGATGATGGGTGAAGGTCTTGAACCAATTGCTGCTGGTGGTGAAAGCTTTTTACGGCTTCTGCTGTGCTTGGGCAAACCCCAGTCAAGACTATTCATTTGAGAATCGAGGACGTTGTGTCTGCTCACTTCCACACTCCACTGAAGAACAGATCTGTGGTCCCTATAGCCCTATAGCCTGTAGTTCCTGGGGGGCGTCCTGGGAGCTAAGTTGCCAATCGTTAAAATATAACCATGCTAAAACTATATTATAGCATGTGTATATATATATATGTGTGTGTGTGTGTGTGTGTCTGTGTGCACATGCGGGAGCTATTGATCAACACCCATGTTAACTGGATTGCTTTTGATTGGTTGGTTAGCGTGCATACAATGGTTGACATAGGCTTTGCTTGCCTAATCCCAACTAAAGTCATGCACTAGTTCATGCACTATAGGGGGTCTTCGCTGGGCAGGTGGCAACCTCACGCAAGTCAATATTGATCCAAGCAAACGTCTGATTGCCTGCGCCCGAAAGCTGAGGGCAGCGCTTGAGCCATGTCGGGAGGGGCGCCTGAAGCAACATCAAACACATCCAACAATGCCAAACAAACGGGTACTATATCTTACTATGATAGGTGACAAGTGCGGTGGTACCCCAGTTCTGCACCCACAACCCAATCTAGCGGCTTCAGCAGAATGATGGGAGTGAACGGCTAAGACTAGCAGGGCAAGATGGATGTGAAGCCTCAAGAAGTTCTGAAGCACACGCGGGCACACGGGTCCAGGGACAAGCAAAGCAAGCAAAATGCAAATTTGACAAGTGGTATGGCGGTACGGATGTCGATTCTTCAAATTCAGAATCCCAAATTCAGGTGTCAGTTCAACATGGCTAGGAGCCTGGCAAATACTTTGCACCACATCTCTTGCTCCAGTCCACCAGGGCTCACACATGCAAACCGCCAAACGCAACGCCACCACCACCCAACATCCAGTGCAAGTGCTGCCGCTGCACTTCTCTCGCTCTGGGGCACGCACTCTGTTTACATACCCATGACTCGGAAACCTTTAGGGGTGAAACCACATTGTGGCACTCCTTGTGGCTTATCGTGAGATGAATTGATTCTGCTTTATCTAAGCTCTTCATCGGGTGCATCCCAGTGACATGAAGGGTAGATTGATCATCATGAGATAGTATGGATTTGTAATTGCAGACCTCACCGAAGAAAAATGTCTGTGAAGCTGGCTCTCAACCGAGTCCAATCAAATCCAGCTGAACCGACCATGATGGACAGCCTCATTGGTTTATCTGGCTTGAGTCACATGTCTCGCCACCCATGCCTCCCCCTGGATAGCCGCCATGAGTGTCTGCTGTTGCCCCTGAACCTGGCGAAGACTTGCGTCTCACTGGGCTTTGTCATGCTGCGAATCAACGACCATCAGGGTTTCGGGGTCACGCCCGCGGACTCCGCACTCTGAGATGGGTTTCGCGGGCAATATACGTGCACAGCCCTGGCCTTCTTAAGACGACCATCCAAGATTTGGAGTCTTGTAGATCAACTGTCAACTACTGAGTAATTGCTCATCTGCTTTCTCAGGCATCGGACGAAGACCTAGAAGACTCATGAGACTCAAATTCAGAAAGGAATGTTTTTAAGTTTTACGGACGTTTACGGGTGGCATGGCCCGAGAAGTTTAAGTTCCTTTACAATCTTTGCGACAGGTGGTTTTCCACCTCCAAGGGGCGTGGGGGGCGTCAGCACGCCAAAAAATTAACAAATCAGGAGGGTAGCCAAGGTACTGTAGAATAAAAATATAGGGTCCAACCCTTGCAAAATCTTGCAAATACATAATCTGACTAAGCTAGCAGAATACCTCAGCGGAGGCTACTTAATGAGAATAAACTGATCAACTCCAAGGCAAACCATATTGATTTATTGCTTATGTTAGACGTCGGCCCCCTGTCCACCCTGGAGCGGCTCACCCCAACACTCAAGCACTTTATTGGAAGGAGGGTTCCACTAGAATAAAATCCACCAATCCAAACCCAAACCCACCCAACGAATGCAACACATACCTCTTGTAAGGCAAGTTTAATTCTAAAGCTTTCTGGCTGGGTTGGGTGGCTCTTGGGGGGCTGGTTTGGTGCCATGCAACAATTCGACAAAATAACATCTGCAGTGCTCCAACCTCTAAGCACAAAACCGTGTCTCTGACCGTGTCTTCAATTGTTTTTACGTGTCTAGCAATTGTCATTGAAGATATTCAAGATTAAGTGTTGCACGCTATCACCTGGAATAAAGCGATAAGGCAGCCAGTGTTACATATACTGTAGATTGCAGGCGCATCCAAGATCATCCAAAATACTGAAAATATATATGGCAATAAAATAGACCAGTTCTGAGGTTCAAAGCCATTGCATCACGATTGATTTTATTTTAAAGCTCTTCTCCAAGCATCAGGCTCACATTCTAAAATGAGGTCTTTGGAACCAAGACATCCAAATCTTCCAAGCACTGACAGTACTTGTAAAATAGAAGAAATGTATGTAATAAAATTGTACGCCGAATGGTGCTGGGGTCCTATATCTATTTCATGGCCCCATCCAGAATCAACATATCCGAGACTGGGTGTGGTCTGAAAGGCTGTCATGAGGGATCAACAAACATGAACATCCCAACTTTGCCTGTTCAGATGTCCTGCATTGCTCCTTTTTTGTCGCTCCTCTGGGCTCTGAGTTTCGCTGACTGCACCGTCATCCATTCCACTTTGCCTCGCACGCCTCGGAAGAGTGTGATCACGGGGGGCCTTTGCGAGGCTCAGCTATCTGAGACTTCAGGATCACCGGGTTTGCCGAAAAAGGACACCTGCCTGGCTGACTTGATCTGGCACTTCACTCCGCTTGGATGGCAAAATGCTCTTAGCGATTTTCGCAAAATCAACACATCAAAAACGCGAACGCATGGGATCGCGCGATAGCGCGTGCTTGTAGCATCTCGGTTCTCGATGGATCGTTTCTCGCAAACTTGTAGCAAGATTCTGGGCCCACTCTTCTGCCAATTTCGGGTCACCATCGTCAGCCGCCTGGAGCTGGGAAGTTAGTAACAAAGGGCATCGCTACTAGGAGCAAGGGCATCGCTACTAGTAACAAAGGGCATTACTGCTAGTTGCATTCTTGCTACTAGGACCTAGGAGCACATAGCTAGTAAAAAGAGTTTGGAATGGAAAGAAGGCCCTCCTGATTCTCCAGGCCCTTGGATTCTCCGCGCTTGCGGTCAGGAGGGTTGGACAAGGAGTCTGGTGAGTCTTGTGGTTAGTGAGGAGGTCATGTCATTCGTATTTCATTTGTCTAATTGCCACGAGCACCCTGGCAAAGGCAATGCATAGATAGATGTCAGAGACTGTCGGAGGCGTGCTGGTTGGGTCAAAAAGCAATTTGGCAACGAGAGAGCGCCAATGATTCTTAGCGGACCAGAGAGCAAACAGCACAGAAAGAGAGAACAACAGCCTGAACAACTCTTCACACAACTGTAACAAGGACGCTGCTAGGGGCTCCTGGCATCGCTACTAGGAGCAAGGACGCTATTAGGGGCTCCTGGCCTTACTATACATACTACAAGCAAGGATGCTACTAGAAAACCATCAGCATCAGCACCATCCTAGAATAAGTGACCTGACTCCATGACCATTGGGGGCTTTATTGTGCCAATGTGGTGGCAACTTGTTTCGGCTCTTGGATCGACCCATGCGTTGAGCAGAACGACGCACCGTGCCCTCTGGGCCTTCCGGATGACAGCACGGAAGGCACGTTGGGCAACCTGCGGTGGGGAAGAGAATCAAAAGGAAGACACCTGAGATGAGTGTTCAAGATCTTCATTTTGTTGATTATTCATCATTGTCACCTGCTTGTCCCTTTTCCATGAAAGGGGTCCCTGCTTCCATCAACCGCTGAGAAAAAAAGCACTTCCAAGGCTGGAGGATTGTCCCGTGGAGACAACAAAGACTCAACGGGGCTATAAGGGATTCAATGAATTCCAGCTGTGAAGAAAACAGTGATCAGCTGCCGGTGTTCGCTCAACATGTTGACACAATACGATGCAACGTTGCAGCTTGTGGCTCACACCCTGGAAAGGCCTCAAGAAAGGAAGATTCAACAAAATCACAAAGCAGCACCACCTTTGGGATCGTGGCCCGGTGGGCCATTTTGGATCATAATTGCTTGGTCAAAAGCACTACAAACCCTCCAAAGACTCGACCTTCAGTTCTGGAGCATCGCTTCACATCACCTCGCTGGGAGAATTTGAGACCGGAGTGCTCTCTTTCCGCCAGAAGTGTTGACGCCGAGTGTCACCATGGATGCGACCCATCGGACTTCGAAGCGTGCCAGGCCTCCTTGGCCATGACGCTGCGTGCAATCTGCTCAGGCTCAAAGCCTTGACTAGCTGCCTGGGCGATGGGGAGTTGCAAGATCTGGCGTCTAAAGCGCCCTGGGTACTGCACGCTTAAGGCCGTTTCAATGGAGACCACTCTGGCTTCCCAATAAGTAGTGTCTTGGGATCCGTGTGTTGGAAAAAGCATGACACGCATTGGATCAAACCAAGATGTCTTGGCGGTTATCTCTTGTTTGATCTCTGTTGGTCCAAGCCGTCGAACACCTCTACATGGTGATGCGCCACGTAGCGCAACAGAATGATTCTGAATTGAGGATTGACAGAACACTTGCAGGACAAAACCAGGATCTGACCTCAACCCTCTGTGCAAGCAAATAATGCGAATCACGGGCATACTATTGATGAGTACGAGACCACCTTCGTGCCTCCATTGAATACCTCCCTGTGCCACTGTAGAAAGAAACTGCAACTCAAACACTACTTTAGCCACATGCCTATTTCTTCTCACCGTTGCCACCCCGCGTTTCCCGCACCCATGGGTTATCGGTCGCGCCTCCCTGAGCCACTCGCCCATCATGCTGAAGTTCCGTGCGCGTGCGGCCGAGAAAACGGAGATACTGAAGGTCTGCTCGTCTGGCGCACAGCCTGCCTTAGCACAAAGCGATGGGAGACCGAAGACAATCAAATGGAAGATAGCCAAAGGACACAAGTTGCTTGATGGCAGCAGATGCAAAACTATGCCATGCATAATGTCATGCACTTATATTTGTGTGCAATTCTGTGTGCAAATGAAGCGAGAAACTGCAAGTTGCCAACTGTGCTGCCCAAAAAGCATCACGCCCCTGAAATCATTTCTGACAATCAGTACTTAAGGCTTAAGGATTCTTCTTCCCCAGATCTTGACAGATCTTGCAGGTCTGCGTGAGCTGTGGCAGCGCAAGGATGTCGAACAACATCGAGCAACATCTGCTTCCAGTCTCTGCTATTACCTTTCCTTTGTATGCTGTGACTCTTCTTGGCACGGAAACAATGTAACAAGCAAATGCCTACATATGTCAATAATGTATTGGCATATATATTAATTAATTGTCAATAATATCATATTATATATTTCTAGTCTTTTAGGGGTTCCATTGTCAGCTGAGCATCAGTGAAGAAGCACTCAAAGCAGCTGCACAGGGCAATGATGAAACAGCTGCACGATCACCGGTCTTTGATGCAGAATGCAGGGGGTAACAATACAAGGGAACCTGAAAACTGGACTCTGCCAGGCAGTTCGGGACGGTTTTTTGCCCAAGCAAATCCAAGCAACTTGTAGGAGTCGATCATACCAGCGGCGGATCTCGCCGATGCCACTGCATCTAATGGCAGCTTGCAGCAAGCTATTGAACCTTGGATTGGTTTATCCGCGCGACATGGATGAAACAAAACTACCGAGAAAAAGACGTTATATAAACTTATTGAGAAAAAACGACAAATAACGCCAAATATATTTGATATGTTTGTGCGACTGTTTGTGCGGGGTGGGGGTGAACGTAGAGCCTGGAGCCTTTCAAAAAGAGTCACGTGTTGGTGTCAAGCTGGCGATTGAGCTTCACAGCCTTGGAATACCACTTTTCAGCAGCCTCCATGTCGCCTGCAGGGTCAGCACAGGATGCTTATTGGAACACGTGTGCCCCTCATCCATGCAACTTGTTCTTATCTCTCCCATGATCATGGTGATTGTATTATGAAGCAGTGGATCAACTGCGAAGGGCTGGTCCTTTAGGCTTTGTTGGACGATGTTGGATGCGAGTGTTCTTCCCCAAAAGCCTTTCCAACCACACTGATCTTAATTACACCACCTCGGGGCATAGACTGGTCCACCTAGACTCTAGACTACAGTCACAACATCCTCAGGATTTGCTGGGCCCACATGCTGCCTTGCTTGGCAGCAGCGTTGAGCAAGGTTCGGAAGGTTACAGCATCGTGCTTCTGACCTGCCGCAGGCCACACAAGCCACTGCCCGTCGCTTTCGCGTCGCTTTTGCGGTGGCAGGACGTCCATGGAGTGATGGATTCCGTGTCAGATCGCTGAAAGGAAAGTCACCGGGCTCGACTGGTTTGGAGATACAAGCAGTCTCAGAAATCAAAGGTCGTCAATTGCGACGATGCAAGTGAATCAACATGATCCGTCATGTTCCACGTGTCTCCATGATTTCCAGCCCTAAACATCTAGCAGAATGTCCATCCCTAGTCTTACAGGTCTTGGGTAAAAAACCAAACGTGGAAAACATAACGCAAACCCTCTGTTTATATTGTGGTTGATCAAAAATCCTTCTTGCTGAAAGGCAATTCTTCGCAAAAAGTACTGCACTTTCGCAAATCTTTCGCGAACTCCATGTTTAACTTTTGCGGGGGGTATATCAGGTATATCCTCCAGAAACATCAGAAATCTTCTTGGCTCGGTGGTTCTACATAGGAGATCATAGCAGCCTAACCACTTCCATCTGTTTGCTTCTTGGAATTGCACGCTATCAAGTGTTGTTATGCTCATGTCTTGCTAGGTCTTTCGCTGCTTGGCTTGGGCAGGGTCCACAAAACAGGCCTTCACATTGGTCTATGCTTTAAGGGAACTTTCACGAATCTTATTCCAACAAATGTCGCGTCATTGGTGGGTTTCGAGGCCTATACTGCCTAGGGATTGTGCATCGCAAGTGTGAAATATATATAATGTGCAATGTAAAGGCTTGTGAATGGCTAGGAGCCATGGCCAAGCCAAATCACCAATGTGAGTGAGCTAGAAGCCTAAAGACTGCATCGAAAGTCAGGAATCAAGGCTCCTCCTGAGTGAAGGAAGTATGAATAATATATATATAGTTCTAACATAGAGTATATAGATAACTCTTTTGCAGATCTGTCGTGAATAAACAAATACCTTCGCGAACAACTTGAAGAGGCTCTCAGTGACCTAGGCCTTATGTCGACCTTTCGCTCGACTACCATATAGTTACCACCGACAGGTCAACACCCTTCCAAGTCACTGCGATAAGGAGAAAAGACCTGTGTCCTGTGTTTCTTCTGGTACAAGTATATAAATATAGTAACAATGTTCGCTACTAAGAACAAGTGCATCGCTAGTAGTAACAAGTGCCTTACTAGAAGAAGCTACTAGGAACAAGTTATAAATAAGTATCTTCTGGTTCTCCTGCGCAATGGTCAACCTCCATTGAATCCCAACATTGAGCGACCGGAGTAATGACATCAGGTGATCAGGTGAATCAGTTTTGCAGTTTTGCATGGCAAAAACAAATCAACTCAAAGAGACGTGACCTTTGACTTGGTGATCCTACAAGTTCGACTACCTCAAACGGTACCATTCCCAACCCCACCCGAACACCAAGGCCAACATCGCTTCAAAACTTCCGCCTGCACGTTCAGCCTGTTGAAGCCAAACATCTGCTTGCTCCAAATCCCCCTGCTTAGCCGAGGCATCCATTAAGATGCTGAAGCTCCAGGCATCCGCAAGGACGCCATCCTTCTCCTAACGATCTGGCGTCACTGGATGGGGAGTTGTGCTCGCTTCCAGGAGTGCGGATGATGACATGAGGCTCACAAGTCTTCGGATGTTTTCGGTTTGTTCATAGTGATCCTGGTTTTCTCTGTGAGAAGGTCGTTTGAATGGCAGCATAGGGGCCTAGGTGATTTATCTCACTATGCGCACATCACAGCCGTCACAAACGCCGAATGGATGGAAACTACTGCGGCATGGTTACCCATAGCCTCGAGTGAGCACTTGGAGCGGCCAAAAGTGAAGCTGGCGTCAAGGTGGAACAAGATTGGATTTCTGTGAGCTTTGGACACGAGAAGAAAGCTGAGGGACCTTCATGCAGCATGAGTATAATCGTATACATGAATGTTGATAATTATATTGAAACCACATTGTCATGCGGTCCTGATTTGTTTGTTGGTGAAACCAACCTCACCGAGCATGGGGAAGCTATATATTAATATATAAATCTTAAACACCGGAGCCAACATTCTCACTCCTCATGCCCAGCCCCGGCCTCCGCAAATCATACAAAATGAAACATCACATTCGTCCACTTGTCGACATCTCAACGCAGGAAAACTTGGAGTCCACCATATAGATTCGTCAGCGACAAAAAACAAGCACACATGGAGTGAATATGCCAGAACCACTAATTTTTCCCTACGAATCCATATTTCGTGATTCCATCACATGGTCATTGTTCGATTGATTCGCCCGTCCATCTGCTGGAACCACTTCTCCGCAGAGGAAGGTGCATCCTTGGCCGCGGCGCTCAGCATAGCATTGTACATGGCCTCACCGGGTCCGGTTGGAAGACCGGTGAGCGACGGTGTCCTTTCAGATATGGAGTCGCCCTTTCAGATGTGTTTCTTGTGCTTTTTTTTCGGTGTCTGAAACGTTCTCAATATAGAGACTTGAGGTAAGTGACACGTATAAAAATAGGGTAAACCATGGTATACCACTTCGGACTGGCTGGCAAGGCTGGCATGATTCCTGTCCATCTGCCTACATGAATTTTGGGGTTTCTCAAGTCTCCACAGGTCGCAGTCTTGCTTCAAAAAAAACATATATACTGAAAACATCTCAACACATCTGAAAACCACATTGAGAGCCCAGGCACCACGTTGGGCCGGATCCCGGCGTCAGCAGCTCTCTGAAACCAGGCCTGGCCAGGTTACATAGACATAGAATACGCATAATGCGCGCGCACCTCGTGAGAGGCTCAGCCAGGTGCCGTCCCAAAACACCGACAAAAAGAACACGAGAACTTTGGAGATCTGGAACCTCAGCGTGTCAGAAATGCGGCAATCATGTATAAGTCTGAGAGAAGAACTGTCTGTATAAGTCAGAACTGTTGCATCGCCTCACGGGATCCTGCGAAAGTGATAGCATGTGTGATACCCCTTTCAAGACCTGCCCTTTCAAGACCTGTCTATTCTTGTAGTCCGCTGCTTCAAGTGCCACTTGCATATATATGAATCACTGGAAGCAAACTTTGAATTACTTGATGCACACCACTCCGTTGCAATCCCAAATTTGGCACCATCAAGAATATTATAGTCAATACGTCACCGCATCTGCGGTCTCTCTCTTTTGGAACCCAGCTCAGGCCCACACAATATATACACCTAGTCACTGTGGTCACTATAATTAGTCTGCCAAATCCGTCCATCTCACCTTCCATGTGCTCGAATGACACCGCGAGGCATATGCAACTCCCACAGTGCCTCCGCCTCGCCTATGCAGTTCAGGTCGGCGGCTGCAGAGATCAAGGTGGTAAAGCTTACGACGTTGGGAGCCACGCGCGCCGCCACCGCCTAATTCCAGCGGGATCACGAAGGTGCACTGGGAGCTCGGAAGAAGGACCCGAATGGACTTGGGTTTGACGGATGATCCAAAATGATCCAAAGCAACGACTTGACGGATGGGCCTAAGTCTTGAAGTGGCAACGAAAGGGTAAGACAAGAAGCACAAAAACCTGGGTGAGGGCGCTTAGTGTGACTAGAGATTCCTTGGATTGAGTCTCCTGTCGCAAACTGGATAGAAATTAGCATGTTGTCCCACCTCTGCCTAGTGCAGAGTCTACTGTAAATCTACAAGCCTGCCAATTATTCAAGCATCCGGAGTCCGATTTTTCATCAGGAACTATATATGACTATATATATACAACTCTATGGACCAGTTTAAAATCTAAACGAAGGACCACTCTCATATAAGCTTTTCCACTGGATTGCTGGTTGAAATCTTGGTTGGCACTGCATACAAGGAAGGCTGGTCAACAATTTGAGGTTCCTCGGAGTTCCTCTACTAGGAACAATAAACTACTAGGAACAAAGGGCTACTAGGAGCAAGAACGCTACTAGGGGCTCCTGACCTTACTACTATGAACAACAAGCTACTGGAACAAAGGGCTGCTGCAAGCAATCGGATCCCCTGACGCGATGCGCAAGGCCATTAGCAAGGCTCTATGCAATCGTTCTTGATGTATTGGATCCGTTTGTAGCTCCCTGAGGGATCTGTTAACAACATGAAATGAAATGAAATGATGTTTGTCTCTAGTCAATGATCCAGCTGCAGTTGGGCGGCGCTCCTGAACCACTCCTCAGCTGAAGCCAAATCACCTGCACGAGCCGCGGCGTTCATCAACCTGGGCGGCACTGGGCGGCGAGAGCCCAAGGTCACTAACCCACCCCACTTGGATTGGCCAGGGGTCCACGGCCACCGACCCAATGAGAAGATGATTGGAGACGATTTTACGTAGGCCCAAGTGAGGGTCCAGGGACTCAGCGACGATATAAGTTGTGAGTCACTACCAGCATTGCGAACGCCATGGCCAAGCTTGGACTGGAAGAGCCGTAGATAAGAACTCGTGTTAAGAAGTGTGAATGGTCAGCCCCCAAGCTTCTCTTCAGTGTCTGGGGGCCCACAAGAAGTGCCACAGAAACAGTACAAACATGCACACACCAAACTCCAGTTGAACAAGTTGTGGACGCAGCATAGCAGTGTTCTTGCAAGCTGCATGCTTGTAACATCTTAAAACTCTTCCAATATCTTCCAAACGTGACATCGTGACAACCCATCGAACCTCTCTTCCTGCTTATCCCATCAACAAACAAACCTCGCCAATGCCACCAAACCTTTGACTTGCCCATCGTCCGTTTCGCGGTGGACGCGTCCCAAGCAGCGTGTTGTAGGTCACCCGGTCTGGCTTGGTGCCGCTGAAGCCTCGCTTTGTCTTGCACCGAAACATACAAATGAACCAATTTGTAGCCACAACCACTGCAGTGTCGCCAAAATGGCACACGGGACTGATGTGGTTGACAATTACATCAGTAAGTATACGGATTCCCAGCAAGGCGAAGCGGGCAACTGCACATTCTACGTACTCGCTCGCAAGAGAGTCAGAGTGGGCAAAAGGAATTGTCATCGCTGCTAGAAGGGCAGGTCAAAGGCCCTGATTCCTGGTGCTGATGCTTCATCTTTCAATGGTGGACACCTGAAGTGGGAGGCGCCATGAGGAGCCTCAACCGAAACACCCTTCCGACCCTTCCGAGCAGGTGGTGGGCCTGCGGTTTTTGCACACCCGAGTCCCGGCAAGCAGCTGGCGGTTCGAAACCACTTCTCTGTCGACGCGAGGTCCCCCTTCCTGTGCACAAAAACCACCAGGAACAAAGTGTTGAGGGATTGGGTCAAGTGCGCCAAAGGACGCCTAAGGCTTGGGCCGATGCATACCACAGCTGTAGGTGTCCAAAAAAGACTATAGACAACTATATATTACAAGACACTAACTGTGTGCTCAGCACTGTCTGCACATGTTCCACCCTGTGCATGGTTTTGCTTGATGCTCGTTGGATCTGTTTTGAAAACCAGCTTGGGGTGATCCGCCACTCCACATGACACTTGAGATTGCTGGAGTCAAAGAACAGTTCAAGCAGCAGGTCTCACAAGCATGGAAAAAATGTGTTTAGATTGAGATCTCTAAGACTAGTCCGCATATTGAAAACCGGTCGTGATCAAACGGCTATGAAACGGCTCTGTCAACATCAAGGAAGTGCCTGGCCGGCCCACTCATCAAAGTGTTGAAAGTTCCTCAGCTGACATGCTCACCCAACATCCAAGGTCCAAACCTCCAAACCAACATCTTACAAAGCATCGGTGAGTGCTTTCAAAACCGTCCGAAAGAAGCATGGACCTTCATGAGTCATCTGCCCAAGGGACGTATGGATGGCCGCACGCCAGCCTCGAGGGCAGATTCATACCTCAGTTCGGCATCGCATGAGTGACAGTCCTGGTGAGATCTGCGTCGTGAGCTTCAGGCATTCTGCCCAACACCGACCTTCATACTGTTTCATACCCACCCAGCTCCGCGAAGATGGATTCTACTAGAGCTCTGGTCCGCATGTTATCCTTGATCATCCCCATAGACCATCAAACACTGAAGCTGAGCCCAACCAAACTTCAAACCTGTCTACTGGCGGCATGAAGATATAAAAATCATTTAGAATTTAGTAGTTGATGGTGGCAATTGTGATCAGTTTGGGGTTTCAATCAATTCATATTCTGGTCACATGTTGCTTCGTTGGCAGCTAGAGCGTTTGTCTTAAATTGCCACCCCGGTCACTGGCTCACGTGCATTCCCATGATCACCCTCACCACCGCCATCCAGAAGCCACACATCAGAGTTCTTCCTCACCGGGCTGCCAATGCCTGGCTGCCTCCTCATCGTCAGTACGCACAGCAGCGTCGATCAAAGAGGTGAACCTGGACGTAGTGAAGCTGGAGGCACTGACAACATCTTTGACCCAACTCGCAGTTGATCTTGGGTTTGGTCTTGGATTGATTGTGTGAGAACATGCAGGACATTATAGGTCATTATTTGTCACCCCCAGACAACCGATCGTATGTCGTGCTAGTGACTAGTCGCGCTTACCAGCACAGGTGATGTGCTGCTTTTGGACTCTTGCTCGTTGGCTTGGGCGTCGTTCAGGCAGGGCACGTGACCACGTTCGGCGTAATCCCATTTGTCAAGGCAGCCTGGCGGTGAGGTTTTAGTATGCAAGCGTTGCAAGAGCTTTAAGTGAAAACGTGTGGCTTAAATGCATCATCCAGTGCCAACCTGCCCAATCAACCGTCCAAATTGAAAGCAGGCCACAATCTCACGATTTGGCACGATTGTTCCAGGGAAAGCAATAAGATCCTCTCACCTCGAACCAGGTCTCTGCCAGGGACAAGTTGCCAGTCTTGGCAGCTGCACTGATGATGGTGGTGTAGGAGACCACCTGAGGGAAAAATGCAACAAAATGCCACACATACAGCGAGGTCGCACTCCATAAGGTCGCTACTACTAGGGCCACTCACTGAATTTGTTGGAAGCTTCAATTGGGAGCTTTTGAGGATAAGGCATGGACATCGGACACAGACTCACCGAGTGTGGCACATCCGGCTTCAGGCCCAGCCCTTCCATTCGCTGAAACCAGCCTCGGAGAACAATGACCGGCTCATGCTGGCAAAAATACGTGTGGCAGCTGGTTTCAGAACCAAACGACGGCTTAGGACTTTCTACAGGAGTAACCCCCTGAAACTGACATATCTCCCACGGCAAATTGTGTGCAATATTCTAAACCCTCCTGACATGGGCGTATGTGAATGTTTCTTCGTGACAAATCAAGGCACTTGATGACCTCCTCATATCTGTTCCTCCACCGGTATACATCTTCTGGTTGGTGCCCAAAACCCCATGAACAGATCAATGGAACGAGCTGGTGTTCTGCATGGGAGAAAGGCCCTATTGCACTCTTTGACCGGACATCTCAGGTAGTTCTAAGTGGCGGATTGCCAGTTGGACGTCCCCCTCCCGTGCGGCCGCCGCCATCAGCGAGTTCAGCATGGTCAAGGTGGGCGCCAGCTGGGCATCTGTTGCCTGCCTGGGACGGAGAGTTTGGGTGACTCAAGCAGACTGAGCATGGCAGGATGCAACCAACATCATGCCAATCCAGGAGCAGGGTGGCTTTTCAACCCAACGCCTGAGGGGATGGTGGGCACCCTACAGCCTCCAATAGCCACCACGTTGGAATCCCTGCTGTTGTTCAGTATGGCTTAGTTGCAGTTTCGTTGTAGGCACAACATTGTTATAATCAAACATCATCACCATCTCTCCCCCACAAAGATCGCGAAGGAGATCAGATTTCCGCTGACGTGTAGCGTGCGGGGGAATTGAAAGGCTTGTTCCTGGTCCAATGCCAAGGATGTTAAGCTCCCTGGCGTGTGGATCCGCTCATGAGCCCGCAAGACCTGCGCCAATGACTCGCAGCTGTCCAGGCCTTAGCCATCGCTCAGCTGCTGCCAAATCGCCATTCCTCGGGCCGACCAGGTCGGTCTTTGGTTTCTTTTTGCCTGGATTCGGGAGATCGGGTGATGACACCGAAGCGTGCTCCCGACAAAACACAACCAGCAATGAAGGTGACCTCTGTTGAGGGACTCTGTCTAAACGTATGTAGACTCCCACAGCTCCAAATTCCTTCATGTTCAGGTTCCCAAAGTGAATACCGTGAAGAGTCAAAAGCATTCTTATGTATGACCCATGACGCATTATAACACATGCCTGTAACTGTTCCAATCTTCACGATGGGCCATGGACGTTTTCGCCCAGGAGCTTGGAAGCTGCATTGATGAGAGCTTGGTAGGTGACCTGCCCAGTATCGCGCACACACACAAAAATATATATATATATATATACTACAGCATTCCAGCGAAGCAAACAATTGAGCGAGCATTGTAGAAAAGTATATACTGGAATGCGGAATGCCGGAAAAGCAAGTGCCAAACAACATTGTCGCGCTTCGGTGGAAACAACTCTGCCTGATCAGGTATGCAACCTGCACTTTGCGCCCTTGCATACCATATCTCTGCCGCTGCTGCGTCACCTTTCTTGGCCGCTGCCAACATCCTCGTCTTGTGAGCGTACGTAGCGTGAACATGTAAGAGAAAGCATGGCAAAGCCAACACAGTGGCACCCAAACCAAGACTTGCAGCACCCATGCAGCTGCAGAAATGGATATGGGATGAGACGGGAACCAAGAACCATAGGGACAACACTAAAAGCAAAACACAAGGCATACCACCACCACCACCACCACCACCACGACAAGCAGTGATGCCCAAATATTGCAACAAACAAAGCAAGACTCTTCAAGATTTGGGTCTCCACCCACAGTGTCAGCCCAACAGGGAGCTGGACGGCAACACCATGTAGCGAACCCCGTTTTCTCCCGCCGAGACACATGGAATTAAAGGTCTCCACAGTGGGTGTCAGCCCATCGCCCAAGTCCGCAAAAAGCCGGGCCGCGAAGGAATATCCTCAGAGAGCACAGCGGAACCGCGGCCAGCGGCCCAACACAGAAGAAGGAAAGCCTGAGAGCCATCTAAAGATGGGGAAAGCTTGTAATTTTACAAGGTTGTTTGCAATCACCATGCAGGTGCAGGAATTCCTCTTGACTTGGATGGTGGGAAAACCTTTCCCGACACCAACAGCTCGGGTTCCCCATGTTTGCCCCAACCTGCTTTGCTCTTGTTCCAACCTGAGATGAGGTGATGTTTTCACTGACTCGTAGCCGGTCAGATCCGCATGACATGGCATCACCTTGCATGACTGTTGGGAAACCCGAACGCGGGGGATAAGGATTGAAGTGTGAAAAAGCTGGGAAAACAACATGAAATCACATCGGTGCATTCGGCAGACAACCGAGATGAAACCATTGGATGTTCGGCATCCTTCGGCAGTGTTTCACTCTTTCACCTGGTTGGCAACAAATGCCCAGAGATCTCCAGAGTCCAGAATTCAAATACCTATGGCAGCCTACGACATGAAGCAGCCTGAAAAAACACCAGCTCCTCTCTTAGCACACTAGCCAGCAAAGTCAATGCAAAAGCAACCTCAAAGTACTCCAGCCCCGTACAGTGCTGGAGCAGCGTGCTGCGCAAGCAAATCATCCCAAAAAACTATTCAAGACCGTTCTGGGATCAACACAGCTCATGAGTGAGGTAAGCCGCGGACTCTGAGGTGCTACATCCGGTTGCATCTGCCCGTGACGAGAAAGGTGCAGCAACAGTTCAGCAAAGGCACCTTCCAATTGTGCAGCCCTGGACAGCAATTGATTGAACACCTGCGGGGGGGTCAGCCGACCAAGCCTTAAAATCTCTCGGAGCGTTGTGTTCCTTGTCCTGAGCCCAAGCTGCCTGCAAGTCCATCAGTGCACTGCTTCCACGGGAGGCCAAAAGTGTCCCAAATGTCCGACGAAGGTTGGTCGCTGACCAAAGTGTTCTCAAAAGGATGCGCCTCCGTAGGCCAGCTACTGCCATCAGCCAACGACTTGTTGTACCAAAAGGCAGCAGCGCGAACGTCGTTGCGTTTCAGAGCCGCATCCAAGAGCTCTTTAAAGGCACCTCTGAGGAACCATCAGGTGGAGAGGTGTGGACAGTTTTGATAGGTTTTGGCTTCCTGGTGATGACAATTCTGTATCACTTACTTTTATGTTATTTAGGATGTGGATGGATGTGGTGAGTTAAGAAGGCATGTTGTGCGCTTCCTAGCTGGAATCACGATTCCATCCAGCAAGAATAAATTCCGGGTCTGCGGCATCAATCTCCGTCAAGCTCCTTTGCGCTCTCCATGTTGGGCTGATCCATGAACTCTTGTTACTCTTGTTAAAGGGGTGTGAGGTCGGCTGTAGATCTCTCCCGGTTTGCGTGGAAAGGGTTCTCATGGGCCTCAAGAATTTGGAACGCATAGGCATAGGGCAAATCATGCATTGCAACCACTCCTCGGCCCAACTGATTGAAATGCTTGAGTTTTATGGACATGAGGCAAGGCAACACCTCGGCACCTGGGCCAAGCTGGCACCCGGCATCCACTGCTTGCTGATACCAAGTCCTGAGGAACTCCACCAGTGCAAATAAACCAGAGGTTGGAGCTTGTCTCACGCAGAACATGCGTGAGAGTAGGAGGGCAAATTGGAGAAGAACTGGAAACATCTGGAAACCATGTCATTTCGGCCAAAATCGTTTTTCCGACGTGATGTTCAGGGGGCGTTAAACCAAAGACTTATCCGGCTGGCTTGAAGCAACAACCTTGCGTGGCTGCGTGGGCCTGGAAGTCCTGAAAAAAGCACTCGACCCCAGCGACTAAACCCCAGGATGGCAAACCATTGATTCACACACACAGTGCAAACCTCCTATTTTTGGAACCTTGACTGATTTGTTGATGTTACATGATGTCATCGGGTTCTTCAAAAAGCAGCCGTCTATCTTTTGAACCATTCTTGCCTTCTCCACCCCTGTGGCATGTATCCATGCTGGGGAAAAAAAACCATTTTGGTTTTAAGTTGCGAGGAAATACGTACCAACATTGATGTTGGGGTTCAAGGGGGGTTGTTTGCCAGACTTGGACATGTGATGGGTTGGCGTTTTTTGTTGAACAAGAGATGTCCCCCAAGATGCGAAGGACTGCTCACACTATACTTCCACTCCTCGGCCCCTACCCACCGTCTGGAAGTGGTGAGCGACTTGCAGGAGCGCCCCACATGCCTTAAAAACCGGAAACAAGCCTTGGAGGTTAACCAGGTAACCACATGGGAGGCCATAAATTAGATCAAAAAAACAAAACACGCGTTATCTCCACCCCGCTTTGAGAGGGCTGAAACTTCACAGTAGTTGAAACATGATGTAGCAGCAATGTAGCATGCCTGAGGGGGCTCCAACCCTCTGCTATGGCTTCTTGTTACTACTAGCAACAAGTGCCACGCTAGTAGTAACAGGTGCCTTACTAGTAGTAACAAGAAGCTACTAGGAACAAGTGCATCGCTAGAGTAGTAACGAGTGCCTTACTAGTAGTAATAAGAAACTATTAATTTGGCATGGTTTTCACCTCCCGGATGTCAAATGCTGATTCTCAGCGTCTCCACCCGAATCTGCGGGAGCCGTCGCAGCGCGGTGGCAGTGAGGAGGCTTAAGGTTTGGGCATTGGGCGACACCGAGAGGTCCAACATCTTGCTAAACCACTCTCCTCCGTAGAGAAAGATGGGGCGGGCGTCATTGAGAGGGGCGGCAAAGAATAGATCTGAAGGACTTCTATGGCAAACATCGTAGAAAAGTGTGGTTTGGGTTCAGTGTTTTGGTTGGTGAAAGCCCAGAGAGCACACAAACGAATACGTGAAGGGGTAACGCCTTGCGAGGTTTGGGTTGGTGGTCCTAGCGTTTTATTCACAGTTCATTGCAGGCTTCAGCTAAGCTCAAGCATGCATCAGTTAGCATCTGATCAAGCATATCCCATCCAATGGTCAAGCCAATGAGAAGCACAGTTGAAATGCATCGATCTTACCCTGTCCCTGTCCACATGTCTACACAGCAGCCACGTCAAGGTGAATACTCTTTGCCCTCGATGCTACGTGATCGGCAACAATGTGCAAAGGAAACGCTTCCCATCCGATCTGACAAGTGCCCCATCAAACCGACTTCACGTCGCTTGGCGGCGTAGTCTAAAAGCATGTTGAAGGATTTGACCTAGAGGTCAAGACTTCTTCACTCTGACACGATGAGCTACGAAGAAGGCGACTGGACTCCATCCTCTGACACAAAAACCCAACTCTCCTCAGTTCCCAGATTTGTTTCGAAAGCTCTTGCAGCAAGCCGGTGACAGTCATACGCGAAACCATTATTTAAAACACACACACACACACACATCGGCCAACCGACTGTGACCAGACCAGAATGTCTGTCAAGTTGCCTGGGGGGGATTTCCATTGTTAGTGTTCAGGCAGCCCTGACCTCCAGCCATGATGAAATATTGTAAGGAAAATCTTGCACCTGGATCTGCACGCTTCAACAAAACAAAACATGAACTATATACATACATTTGCACTGCTTCATGTAGTGCAAGCCAGTCCAAGTCATATAAGTTCTTATTGGAACCGCTTGAGCCGATCAACAGCCACAGGCCCAGCTATCCCGACAAGCCACAGGCGACTGGCCTGGAGTTGCAAGCAGGCCCTGATAAAAGCACTCAGCTGACTCCTGATCGCTCAAATCCAGTGCAACTTCCAAGAGTGAGGCGAAGGTTAAAGTTGAAGGGTATAAACCGCAATCAATGGCTTGATCCTTAGTGATCGGTGCGGATCCATTGCGATCACAGATTGGGTGAAAGAAAACGGTCCATGAAAACGTCCGTACTTCCAAACTTGGGGGATGCATTGCCTCCAGGCTATTGCTGTACATCATTTATCATCACTGGTGCGCCCAAATCCAAGCAAATAAATGACACATTTTTGCTGGGCTGGACTTTGAACAGTCAGCCTGCTATGTTCCTGCACGCTTGCAGCCACAAATTGTCACGAATGCTGCCCAATATGTATGTATGTATGTATGTATGTATGTATGTATTTTTTTCTCCTAGAGTGGGTGTGCACGATGCTCTTATGGCGGTCAACTAGGCCTTTAGCCTCATGTGTGATCCCCTTCAGAAGCAGTCCACAGTCATGTAGTCTTCTGGTTCGGTGGAAGCCTGCGCCACTGGGAGAGGAGCTGCCGCCGGTCTTTCCTCTTGTTGGTCAAGCTCCGTAGGAAAGTGGAGTCTCCTGGGTGTGGGTCTTCCATGTGGACCTTCAGAAGAAGGGCGTGCTCCACAGGTGGCTGCTTGTGTGGCAGCTGGATCCTGGGACTTGTGTGTGGCCGTGTGGCTGGCCTCATGCACTGGTGGAGGATCCTCAGTGGCAGGTTGTGGTGCCTGCTGTGCTGCCTGACTGGGTTGGCTGCGGAAGTACTCAGTAAGTGGTGGTGATCCGCCATTGGCTGCACCTTTGCATGGTTTGCGGATTGCTCCAGTAAGGATGACACGGTTTTGGCCATCGAGATGCAAACTAAGCCCACAGTGTGTGCAGGTCACCTTCGGTCCCTTTTGCCATAAGGCGTGGCTAGCATGACCTCCATGTGGTAGGACATACTCACGATCCAAACATGGACCGTCCACAAAAGTCTGGAAGGTTTGCTCATTGCAGCGTTTGTGTACATTGCATCCACATCGGACACATTTCATGTAGCCGGTGGTTTCTTCTAGTTGATGCCGCTCAGGTGGTGGTGTCTCAGCCGCCTGCTGTTGTAGAAACTGCTTGATGACTTGCTGGCGAGTCAGCTTCTTGGGCAAGGGCTGATGTGGGCTGGGTGGCTCTGGCATGGCTTCTTCAATGCTGAGTTGTGGACATTCTTGTTGTAGTCTTTCTCAATGACCTGAACAATGAGTGCTTGATGTACTCGTGTTCCACACACTCCACATTGATGTCCACTGCGGTGAGGAGCCCATCGATGATGGGGTGCTGTCCAAGGTCGTGTACATTGTGCAATCAGCTGTTTTTTGTATTGTTTTGTTTGCTTGCCCTGGTGTCGGTTGGCTTTCAGGTGTATGTAGTGCTCTTTGTTTTGGTAGATCTTGGCCAGCCTGGCAACTGCATGGGTGTAGATGAGCTTATGGTCGTCATCCAACACCTTTTGCCACTCCTCTTGCCGGCTGTCATGGAGGTCTTTGGCTCTCTCCCATGCCACCAGGGCTGCGTCTCGTTGTCGGCGGCGCAGCTGTGGTTCATTGCCTGGGGCCTCCGGTGTTCTGGTGTTGCGGCACACATAGAGTACCGTCACTCGCTGGAAGTCTGCTTGAGTCAGCTGTTCAAGCTGATCCAAAAAGGGTCCTCTATTTTTGGGCTGGGTCCAAGCTTCCCACACGGTGACCAGTTGGACGATGACTCGGACTGGCGTGGTGGTGTGTTTGGCGAGTGCTACCAGGCCTTCCATCAGAGCCCTGGTTTTGTTGTGGGGCTGGGTTGGCACGCCTGTGATGGCGCCGAGCCGCTGGAGTTGGCCCATGGACATGTTGTGCACACAAAGGCCAAAAACCCAAAGCTGACTTCTTGGATCGTAGCTGGACGGTGTTGCATCTAGTGTAAATGCCCACCCTTGATATTGATGTGGTGCTAAGGGTTGCAAGTCTTTCCACGTACCATGTCCCTGATACGGGTGCTGAATCTGTCTCTGATCTTGAGGTTCAAGTGGTATCCAGCCTGCACTCCAAAGAGGAGTTTCTTCCTGTGAGAGGATGCGCTCTGCCCAGTCTGGTGGCATGGGCTTGTGTCAAGATGTGCTTCGGTGTGGCCTGGACCTGACAGATAGGACACATCTTGGGTTTGCCATCTTCCTTGAAGTGAATGGCGCCCTGTACCCATGTGCGCAGGTGTGGTTTGTCCTCACCCGGGATGGTGCGTATCATCTGTCTGTAAGTGTGCCAGTCGATGCCTGCAAGGAGGTGTTGATGGTTCTCTCTGTTTGCCAAACGGGCAGTTCGCTGTGCTTTGGCTTCAGCCAGAAGGGCTCGTTCTAGCTTCCACCATGGTTCTTGGATGGACATGGCACTTTCCAGCATGAGATTGGTGCCTGATCTTGTCCAGGTAGGCAATGGTGGCAGCCATAGGGCCCTTGACCACATACCATGCATATTGTCGTTGCTGGAGGCTTGTGTGAAGCTCTGCCCATGCCTGCTCAAGGTGCTGGAGTTGATCCCTTGGCCAATTGTGGTAGAGGGTGTGCATTGCCTTGATGTGGTGCAAAATGACTTGGTCGGCTGGGTCAATGTATTTGTTGCTGTGCAAATCATAGGTACTATCCAGGAGGCCACCTGCGTGATGCCCAAGGTGGGTGGCCATGGCCTGTCGTAAGGCTGTCCTGTACCGTGGTGCTAGGCCCTGTGCCTCTATTCCCCAGAGTGCAACCGGTTGGATGCCTCCTCTATGTAATCTCAACCTTACCTTCAAGGCTGGTACCTTCAACGTCCTGAGCTTGAACTTCCTCTGTTTGGCCTTTTGGAAGCGCTGTCGTAGGACTGGGATCCGTCTTCTTCGAGCAGCCTGGTGGTCAATGCCCAAATCTCTCATGACAGAAGAGACCGGCTCATGGTCTTGTAGGAGACTCTTCAGTGCCTGATCTGTTGCCCAGTCAGTGGCGATGAATGCCGTCTTCTTGGGATTGACTTGGAGCTCTCTGTAGGCTTCAACTGCTTGTTGTGCTACGTTGATGGGTGTTGTTTCAGCCAGGTCAAAACCGACATCATCAACCCAACTGGATAGCTAGGCCTTGGGATGGTTTGTCTTCCATGGGATCAAAGCCAGTGCCAAGACGGCCTTCGCCAGGAGTGGCGCCTGGGGGCATCCCGCTGGGACACCGTTGTCGACATGGAAGAATGGGATCATCTCCTGTTCTGCAAGAATGGCTTTTGGTCCACTGTAAAGTTGCATGGCCAACTCAAGGAGGAGCGGTGGGTAGTTCAACCGCGATGCTTCCTCCTGCAGTTTCTCTAGCTTGATTGTGACGTAGAACGTGGACATATCCATCAGCACAGTAATGCCATGTTGTTGCCGGGCTTTGGTGACCTCTTGTCTAAGCAATCTCTCAAGGGCAACGTGGAGGACGTTGGCTCCTGGCCGTGCTTTGTCATGGTTCATACACTCAGGTAGCTGTTGCTGCCATTGGTCCAGGACAGGCTTGCGGAGCCGGCACCACACCCTCCACGGGGTGGATGTGAGGGTGATTGGTCTTTCCAGGCGTTGATTCTTGGGAAGCATCACCACTAGGTGCATTTGCAATAGTGTGGGCAACTCAGCTGTGCTCCCCATCCTTTGATACAACTGTAACAAGGGAGTCAATGCCAGTGGTGGTATGCTCTTGAGGAGCTGGGTGGAGACTGCATCAGGCCCACTGGCTCGATCAGGGAGGGCCTTGACGACGCTTTGGAGATGTCCTGGCGTGATCGGGTCCAGGTGGTGTGCTTGTTATTGGGCTGCCTGTTGTAGACTGGGTTTCGGACATGGGTCATTATCTTGTCTGATGCTCCAAAGTCCTCCCCAGTCTGCCAGTCGTTGATTCATGCGTCGTGGCATTGGTGTCATGCGATAAGGTCTCTCCCATGCGAGCTCACTACTTTTTCAAGCTCCTGAAGAGGCCTCGCAGCCCT